GATAGTTTTACGTAGGACTGATATATCCAGTGTATTTCATGTGAATATGATTATGGGTTTTTATAACCTCACAATTGATCATTTATATGGGTACTTGGGTGTAGTTTTTGATATGTTTGCCACAACCAGTTAAAGAAACAACCCAAGCGCCAAAACTTTTAGTAGTGGTTATGGTCCTCGGAGTACTACTTTAATATACTCATCAAAACATTTAGTTCCTTAATTGTGTCCTGACTAACTGGTAATCATTCCGAGAGTATAAATGATGGTGAGTTAGACTTTATAGACTAAATTTCATGCTGCAAAATACATGAACGTAAAAACATATTGTAGTCGATTCTGGTAGTGAAGTGGTTAAAGTCCACTTTTTGTTTTTTACGTATTTCAACATTAGCAAATCTTGTTGTTTATTCCGCAATAAATGTATCATTATTTTTTCAAATGAATGAATTGTATGTAGCGGACACATTTTGTTGTAATATGTCTAACATTGCCGACATTATTCCTTTTTCACTAGATGCTGTTTTCCCTTGTTCTTTGTACCTTGGCCACCATTGGAGCTCTTACTAGTCTGCTGTATGTTATAACTGCATTGAACAATGGTCCATATTGCTTGTACAGACCGGACGAGGAAGCTCAAGAAGAGTGGGGATATCCTCTAGCAAATAAAACCATACCGTGTTCTGCTGCTCTACCAACAAACACTTACTAGTAAGTTCCCTTGTCCATATTAATTGGTAAAACAAGTTACTTTTGCGATTCTTGGATTTTTACTGTTTATTTAGATGTAAAAAAGGAATAATAGGGTTGAAACATGCCTTTTGAAACATTTATGATCTTCTTGGACTACATGTATTTGTGAATATTAGAAAATCGGAATGTTAGATTCCTATATGGAGATGCGATCAGCAATAGAACAATGTACAGTATTATCACACTTAGAGCTGTATTCCTAACACTATATTCCCCCATCTCCAATGTAAGGGGTTAAATAACCCTTAATTCACTTACCTGATTCCAGTGCCGATGTCCCTCGGAGCTGGGTCAGGCTCCTACTCTACCAAAATCCCCCGACAGTGGGGGTAATCTCATGTGCATGTAGGGCAAGCACTGCAAATGCATTGGGCAGTCCCCATAGGAATGTATTGACTCAATGCTTTCCCATGGGGGTTTTAAACACTCTAGGCATCCTCATGCAAAACATGAGGATGGCCAACATTGTTTAACTGCATGAAACTCCATGAAACTGCAGAAAGAGCCTCTAGTGGCTGTCTGGTAGAAAACTTCAATGCTTTACATTCAAGAACTAAGGGGATAGGGACAGTGCACCCAGACTACTTCAATCAGATCATGTGGTCTGGGTGCCTCTAGTGTCTTATTAAAGGGATACTCCAAACACTCTAACCACTATAGTTATGAGCAGTTGGCTCACAGCCACCACAGTGTGCTGTTGTCATTTTGGTGCTTTGAGTAATCCATTAAGTTAAAAGAATTGACTAGTCACTGTTATTGCAGTATGAAGTGCATTAGGGCACTGAATACGGAACAGGTTAGCCTTTTCCCTGGTATGTCCAAGGGAATTCATAGAATATACAAGTATATATATATATATATTTATATATTTCATAGCTGGGAAATTGTATAACTGAAGTGGCTAGCCAAGAGATGGCCTGAAGTCTAAGAAAATTATGCTAATAACTCTATATTGGGTGTATTAGCATCTGCAAGAAAATATATGATTATTGTATCTATTACTTCCTTTGATCTTCTACACAGTGCTGATTTGTATATCTTTGGCATTCCGTTTGTGCACCCTGTTTGCACCGAACCACCAAATATCGTACCCTGGACTGCCAGCTTTTTAACATGCTTATTTTTCATAAACTTTATGGAGACTGTTCTTGTCACCTCTCAGTTGATAAATGCAGGTTTTGGAATATGCTGTGGACTCTGTGACCCCAAAAAGGTTAGTTGACTCCTTGATATATTTTAAGAATATTTTAAGATCACAGTGACCACGCTTGTATCTTCCTTTCGCTCCCTGGTACTTTTGATTATATAGGAAGTGGTCTTTTACCAGCATTAAATATATGCCTCTTATCATAGCTGGGGTAATATTCAATAGGCAAGGTTCCTATTTAATCATTCTGTAAAAGCATTTTTCCCTACAGTTATCTTCCTCCAGACTATCAGTTTCCACACCACCAGTGTCCCAATCATACCTTCCATAAACTGCCAATCCTCCTTTCTTTATTTGCACCCTGTATTTTTACTATCCACAAATTTAAATACTCGTGCCAAATACTCAATTAAAAAAAAAAAAAATATATGGTTTATTTCTTTACACTATCAAGATTCTCATTCCTACTCCTTCTTTATCTTCTTTTTCAGAATATATTCCAAAAGTGTTCTCAACCTTATATAAGTTTTACATAGTCCACTAATCTTTTAATCTGGTCTACATCCCTTAATCCTACACCTTATACTTGCAGTATCAGCCACCCTTTCATCTTTCAAACTGCTTCTACAATATGCAACCACCTCTTTCTTCTCGCAATGCTTATAGTTCTGTTTCCTCCTCGCAGGTTCTCCAGTTCTTCTGTGCATCCCTCCTTTCTTGGCCAGATATTATGAGTGTATATAATGGACTAGATTATGAGAATGATTCCACAAGCCTGCACTGGGTCATACAACATAAGTGATCTAAGGACACTTAGGGTGTGCATGCTATCCTTCTATGTTAACTTGTGTTTGCCACAATGTCGTTTATAGTCATATGTAGGGCAATGGTTGGCCATGGCTGATCTAGAAAGGTTCCTTTAGGATCACCAGTGGTTCATTTTTTAATCAATATGCCTATTGTAATAGAAGTGGGTAACCCCTTAATCATTAAGATAGGTGTGAAAACCATCAATGTATAGATTTTCTAATCCATCTTCTAAATGTCTAGTTGTTTGCTGCAACCTAGTTAAATAGGTCGATCCAGCTTCTGCTTATTGGCAATCAAAAGTGATCATACTTTCACGGTTTAAGGATTACTATACTGAAGGGTAAACAAAATGAAAATCAGTGCTTTCGTTTATGTAAATCATGTTTGGTTATGATTACAATTACAGTCAAACTACACACTTTTTGGGAATGGGCTGTCCATTTTTGATAGCTATAAATGGTCCACATTGCATACAATAAATTGACTGTGTTATTTATACAGAAACACGACCTATCTTTTAACAGATGTCTCCAGACAGTCGGGATAAATCTATTGTCACAGTTTTCTTACACCAGAGTACAATAAGTATCCATTATTGTTGTTTCAGAGGGGATTGTCTAAAATTGAGAGAACTGTTGCTGTACCAATATGAAGAAAGCAGACAAGTGACTCTGTTATTTTTAAGGTAATGAAACTTGATTTTACTGAACATTTTGCACAATCCTGGGTGTTTTTTTTGCATATAAGCAAATTTAATGGAGGACGTTGAGAGGGGGAATTTAGACAAAATGTTAGCTTATATGGATAGAACACAGATAATTAGTCAACATTACACTAAGGTATGGTTGCCAAAACTCCATATGTTGCTCAATAATTCTACATTCTTTGAGGCAGTGTTTGAAAGTGCTACCTGTTAGCATGTAGACACCATATGTTCTGTATGTGAACTCGCTGAATTAAACTCTGTGGCTCTTTTAAAGGGACACTATAGTCACCAGAACAACTAAAGTTTATTGAATTTGTTCTGGTGAGTACTTAGAATCATTACCTTCAGGCTTTTTGCTGTAAACACTGTCTTTTCAGAGAAAATGCAGTGCTTACATTACAGCCTAGTGATAACATCACTGGCCACTCCTCAGATGGCTGTTAGAGATCCTTCCTGGGCCATGGCTGCCTAAAATGCATCCAAAAATTCAGTGTTGCCACCCTCTGTATGTAGACACTGAACTTTCCTCATAGAGATTCATTGATTCAATTCATCTCTATGAGGAAATGCTGATTGGCCAGGGCTGTGTTTGAATCATGCTGGCTCTGCCCCTGATTTGCCTCCTTGTCAGTCTCAGGCAATCCTATGGGGAAGCATTGTGATTGGATCAGGCTACCACTTCTGATGATGTCAGCAGATAGCTTGGTTTTCTGAGTCTAACAGCATGCAGATTTACAGCTTCTGGCTAGAATACAGTAAGATTTTTCTATATTTATGGAGGCATGAGGGGCCCAGGGGGGCTAGATAGTGGTTTTAACATTATAGGGTCAGGAATACATGTTTGTGTTCCTGACCCTATAGTGATCCTTTAACATGCAGAATTAATAAACATCTACAAAACTGCCAATCCATATTGGCAAGCCAAGAAGCAACTTCTCTCCTTCTCCTACAATATCATAATTTGGTCAGTGCAGATCTAAATTCTCATTGAGCCCACTCAATTAATCATATATAAGTAACAACATGTTTAACCTTATTTTGTTAATAAGAAATATTTAGGAGTGGGACAGCTACAGGTGACACTTCCATAAGCAGGGAGAGCAAAATCTGAGGGCAACATAAGGAGACAGCTGGGAGCACACAGTGGGAGAGAGAGGGGATCAATCTTCCCTTTGCAGGCTTTCCACCTGCAGTGGGGAAGATTGACATGTTTGTCACCAGCGTGCTGTGTACGTTGATGACAGATGCAAAATATGCACAGAAATGACATTGGCAGCCCAGAACAGAGTTTTGGGCTGCCAATAACACATTTGTTGGGGGTGCAACTAGCCCCAACACAAAATTACAAATATCTCAGTAAGTACAGTGTTTCAAGCAGAAACACTACACATACTCACCCCTACCACCATGACAACATCAAATCACCAAAGTGGTCGTGGTGGTTGGAGAAATCCTTTAAATCACAGCTTTGTGTTCTATTCATTTTTATTTTTTATTGAAACTACTTCAACTTTCTTCAGTCAGTGATCTACTGGAAGGTGTTAGTCACATATTCTCTCTCCTTTCTCTCCAAGGTATCCAAGCATTCCTTCTTCATTGACCATCAAGTTAATTAAAGATTGATTTAATACAGCCTCTATTAGAAGATTATGGGATTTTCCTATTGCTATCCCTAGTGACACCGAACAGTTTCCAAGTTTGTTCTGAATTTAAAAACTTAATTGACACTTTTATTAGATTATTTTTTTCGATCAGTTGATCTATTGAACAAAAGTGAAATCAGCTTAAGTAAGACCTAAGACATTACACAGTTTCCTTTCTGCCTGTCTTCATTTTGCTTCTCATGGAAGACCAAAGAGTTTGGAGGTAAGCTTTGGATAACCTCATACAGTGTGAAGATGCTAAATGATATTTGTTCATAAGGCGAAATAAGACCATTTTCATAGAGGCATGCAAATGCAATGACTGGAGGAGAGCCAGTTCCACCCAATTCACCTGAAGAAAGTTCCAAGTATGCCATATCTGAATAAGCACTGGGTCCTTCATAAATAACCCAAGGGCCTGCCCAGCTGTCAGCATCACGAGGATATGGGCTAATGTAAACTCCCAGATTTACCCTTGACTGAGAACTTGTGGGATGGGAGTAGAGTACCCAGGTAGGAGTCTGGAATTTCTGATTTGTACAAAAAGTCTCTTTCTGCTTCTGGAGGAATTCTAACTCCACAAAGGTTGATGATTCAGAACACAGAAGAGCCTGATTGCCACCATTACAAGCTTGATCCATACCAAGACATTGCTTGTGAAACATTGAGTTACAGACACTGCTGTATTGATTGGACAAAAGTACATTTTCTCCAAACCTTTTAGGTTGTTTGACATGATGCTTTTTCTTGCAACAGTGTTGCATTTCTGAAGCTTTAGTACTCTTTAAACCTCCTAGTGTGAGTTTATTTGTATTAAATCTGGAGTATAAACTTAGTGGAGCAGGAAAACCAATGACACTTCCATGGCACCCATTGGGCGTCTCCACCAACTTCTCAATTAGTTGCCCTGGCTGGAACACTATGCCCTCATCAGAGCTCAAAGCATGTACACGAAAGCCCAGTGGGCTCCTGGCATTGCAGTACAAAACATTATTCCCATCTTCCTCATCCACTGACACCAACTGGCACTCCACCGTCTGCAGATTTGGGACAAGCTCTCCCAACTTCCAATTTTTGCCATGATCATCGCTGCGAAAGGCAAAGGCTCGTGGAGTGGTACGGCAAAGTATTCCAAAGCAGTCTCTGCATTCGATGTGGTAGGTGTAAGCAGGAACAAGTAGTCGACCGGATTTTAGTTGTATGCCGTGACCAGGTCCTAAAGCAAATGTTGCCCACTCTGAAAAAAGTTACAGAAAGAAACATGAATTATTATTCTGTCTTCTGCCTACACTAAAACTTTATTTTGGTATTTCCCAGCGTTTTTATTAAATCACACAATACAAGATATAATTTTAAATAGCAAACACTCTCGAAGGCTTACAAAACTAATTTTCTTTGTAGTCTTTAAATAAGCTGATGTAAGCTATTCTTAAACCCTCCATATTTATAATGAACTGCTGATACCTAAAAAGAAGATATGTTGTAGAAGATATGTTCTATTTCAAGGATGGCTCTAGACTTTGTCGGACCGATACAAACTGCCGCACAGACATACACTCACACAGTGATTCTCAATGCTAGACACACTGAAAAAAATACACACATGCCTTACAGCCATGCACAGGCAAACATACACACACACCAACTTCTAGGCATACACACACTAACAGACACACATACTAATAGACACACACACACTGACAGCCACACACATACAAGCATTGACAGAAACAGTCAGTATCGATGGCGGGCTGTACTCAGGGTGCTGTGATGTGCAGTTTCTGTCTTCTCGCATGGCCTCCTCTGAGCACGAGGAGGAATAGATCGGACATCACTTGATTCCAGTGTTGCCATGCATATGGAGAGGCTGTATCTTGTAAGGCAAGCATGTCAAACTCAAAGACTAGCACAGTCTCATTTATAGTTATATTTCCCTCTGTATAATATTGTAAAGTGCTGTAAAATAAGTTGGCGCTATATAAATACCAAAAATAATAATTATAAAACCCTGCTGCTCTGGAATTCTCTGCTTACAGGCAGTGTCTCCCTCTCTCGTCTGAGCTCCCCCTATCACATCTCAATCTCCCAGCTCCATCTTCCTCTCTCCCCTTCATTAATCTCTCACTCCTCTCCATATCTCCCAGTATGCTGGTGCTTCCTTTCCCTCCCCCAAATCTGTGGTAGTGTGAAGAGTGGCTGGTCGCTGTTGCCCCTAACACCTCCTAATTGTGGGCAGCCCTCTGGTCATTGCCCTCTGCTGCCCCATGTTGCAGGCCCTGTTCTCCAGTTAGGAGAATTAATTGACTGCCTATGCTAATAACAGGTTCGATTAAGCACTTATCATAGCTTGTTTAAGGACTACAAAAGACATTCATTTTGTGACTTTTATTTATATTTGATCTCTTGGTTCTCTATTTTTATTAAATTTTGTATGTTACACAATAGATATGTGAGTTTTTCTTATGAGGGAGTCTCTTTTTATACTGATATTTTCCTATTTTTGTTGTAACTTTATTTAATCCAGTCAATATCTACTTGTTTGCCAACTACAAAATGATGGATTTAATTGAATTTAAGACATATAAAGTAGGTAAAAGGGGAAGTCCCATTTTACTCTAGAATCTTGACTGGTAAAACCCTTACCTCTTGCAATGTGTATACTGTGACATTTCATGATATGAGGGAATGATGGTGATGCAAAAACATGTTCTTAGCAAACTTAAACTAGCACGTAAGGCTATAAACTTCAACACACACGTACGAAACATGTCATACAGGTTTCTTTTGTGTTCAGTATTTCTTAGTATTTCTAATAACTTAAAATGAGCACAAACAGTCAAAGCTACTAACCGTTATGTCACCACCACCAAAATTTATTTCACATGGATACATATAGCACCTGTATCAGTGGTTGCTAGTGAAGTTGAAAGCTGATGTGCTAAATAACTCAGGGCCATACCATCGACCACAACCACATCACCTTTGGACACAAAACCCAGACAGGAGAAGACAATAAGTGAATCCCCCAATCTCTCAGCCAACCAACTGCGGTCTAGAATTAAGAAACCCTCTCCTCATCAGGCCGACCCTAACTAAGGGAACACATATTTATAACTGAAACCAAAGAACTCTTCGAGGGGGGACTACTTTAAACAGAGGTCAAACCAACTAAACAGATCGCAAAATATCCTAACTAAAATGTCTTGTAGAAATGTCTTTACCATAAGTGAACTTAGTATTACGGGACACTACACATGTACACTCTGAAATTAATCACTGTATAGACATGATCCTATTGCTATCCGAGGCCATCTAATGGTCATGCCCATACAGGTGAGCTGTGCACTCGGAGCCTGTACTACACTGTAACAAACCTTTATGCTTAACTCTAAGCCATCTTTGTATATGTATATACTGACTTTTAATTCAAAATAAAAATAAAGAATTTTGAAATAAAAAAGCTGATGTGGCTCTAGGGACTCTACCCCTGTAATTTGATTCTGTCCCATGACTTGCTGGATTCTGCACACATCAGCCCACTTACCCACATGCACCCAGGGCTGGACTTGCCCACCGGGGTAACAGAAAATTTGGCGGTGGGCTGTGGCACCTGGGGCCAGACAGACAGCCCAAATCATCAGGCTAATGTAATTTAAGCATTTTACCTTTGGATTGTGCTAGCCTGTGTCAGTACGAGTGGAGTAAAGAGGAAGGAGCTGGGGGCTGGTGCATCCGCAATTAGGCAACTGTCAGTCTCCCTTCAAAATGTATATCAATTTTGACCGCATGCCCTGCCCCTGCATGTAAGCACCACCTCAGAAGCCCCGCCCCCACACAAAGCTTCGTCCCGTTCACATGTTGCTGACCTCTCTGGAAGAAAGAGGCCACAAAATGTCAACTTAATTTGCCAGTGCCAGGTAAGCTTCAGCCATGACAGTAATTGTGTGTGTATGCCTGCTAGTGAGTGAGCTTGTGTGTGTGTGTGTGTGTGTGTGTGTGCCTGCTCCCGAGTGAGCTTGTGTGTGTGGCTAATAGTGAGTGAGCTTGTGTGTGTATGTGTGTGCCTACTCCTGAGTGAGCTTGTGTGTGTGTTTTGCTGCTAGTCAGTGAGCTTGTATGTGTGTGTGTGTATGTTTGTGCCTGCTACTGAGTGAGCTTGTGTGTGTGTGTATGTGTGTACCCACTCCTGAGTGAGCTTGTGTGTGTGTTTTGCTGCTAGTGAGTGAGCTTGTATGTGTGTGTGTGTGTGTATGTATGTGTGTGCCTGCTCCTGAGTGAGCTTGTGTGTGTGTATGTGTGTACCTACTCCTGAGTGAGCTTGTGTGTGTGTGTGTATGTGTGTGCCTGCTCCTGAGTGTGCTTGTGTGTGTGGCTGCTAGTGAGTGAGTTTGTCTGTGTGTGTGTTGCTGCTAGTGAGTTAACTTGTATGTGTGTGTGCCTGCTAGTGAGTGAGCTTGTGTGTGTGTGCCTTCTCCTGATTGAGCTTGTGTGTGTGGCTGCTAGTGAGCGAGCTTGTATGTGTTTGTGTCAGTGGGCTTGTCTGTGGTGAGCATGTGTATGACAGTGAGCTTGTCTGTAGTGAGCATGTGTGCGTCAGTGAGCTTGTATGTAGTGAGTGTGTGTGCCAGTGAACTTGTCTGTAGGGAGCATGCGTGTGTCAGTGAGTTTTTCTGTAGGGACCACATGTGCTTCAGTGAGCTTGTCTGTAGTGAGCATGTGTGCATCAGTGAGCTCATCTGTAGAGAGCATGTATGCATCAGTGTGCTTGTCTGTAGTGGGTAAGTGGGTGTCAGTGAGCATGTGTGTGTGGGTGTCAGTGAGCTGGTCTGTAGGGAGGATGTGTGTGTCAGTGAGTTTGTCTGTAGGGAGCATGTGTGCTTCAGTGAGCTTGTCTGTAGTGAGCATGTGTGTGTTATTGAGCATGTGTGCGTCAGCGTGGGTGTCAGTGAGCATGTGTGTGGGTATGACAGTGAGCTTGTCTGTAATAAGCTTGTCTGTGTATGTCAGTCAGATTGTCTGTCAGTGGGCCTATTTGTGTGCATCATTGAGCTTGTGTTTTTATATCAATGAGCATATGTATATCAATAAGATTGTCTGTCTGTGAGCCTGTGCATCAATGAGCTTGTGACAGTGAGATTGTCTGTGTCTGCATGTGGGCATGCTTACTATACAGTTGAATGTTTTACTTTGAAAGAACCAATACTTTGAATTAGAAAAATAAATATACCAATATTATATAAGGCTATGTTGTGACGAAAGCAACTTCGCCACTGGGTCTTGGGCCAGCCTTTTGCCCTGTGACTATGGCCCCTTTAGTTTATTTTGTCTGAGAGATCCTAATTGTGTCTATTGGGACTTGGCACAATGTACTTTAACTTTTGAAGTAGTCGAAGTGGCACTTCGGATACAGCACTATTGTCGAAGTAGTCGAAGTGGCCATTTTATTCAGTCAAATGGGTTCAGCTGTGTTTTGTCGTCGAGTTCATGGAGCTCAAATCGTATACGCGATGGCACGAACACCGCTCAAAACTTACCTTCCAGGAAACTTCGACTATTCGAACAGGAGACGAACGGCGTTCGGTGAGTTGAATTCCACGAACAAGAGACACACACAGACTATGTGCATTCACCGTTCCGTTTGGTAATTCGAACAGTACTTTGACTTTTTGAAATAGACCGGCCACATAGCCTAATTCTCTGGAACAGTTTTGGGCATGAAATCATGGGTGCGGTCAGGCAAAAGAGACTTCCAGGTATTTCCTGAACCCTTGCTCTGATCTGGGTGATTTTTGGATATGTTGTTCACCCAATTCAAAGGGTGTACCTTAAAACTAATGTTCTCTTTCTAGAGGTACCAGTAATTCTGTATATACCTTTAAATATAAAACAAAAAATACACAACATAGTGTAAACTGTATATAAGAAAGTAAGTGTGAAAAAAGGGCCAAATGACAACTCACAATTTTCTGAGCTAAAAAACAACTTAATTTGACTTTGGCGTTGATTTTGACTTCCCTGTTTTCTGGCATCCCTGACCCCTGGCTTTTCCTTATCACTGTGTCTCTTTCTGTGTCCCTTGACCTCGGCTATTCCTGACTGTTCTTTGGTACGTTAGTCCGGCCATTCTAAGGTCCGGTTTACGTTACCTATCAGTCCTCTGTGTTACACAATTCTAAGTGCTGGATCATATTGTAATCCTGACACAGACAAGGAAAACACCGGGTTAGTGAGTGCTGGATCCACGTGCATTTATATAGAGGAGAAAGACCCCTTTTGGGGTCAAAACATCGATCGGAACAGTGTGTTAATTTTTTGCTAACATGAGATAAAAAAATACAATTTGTTTTCACAAATATCCCTTGAGTGCACCCACTTCCTTTTTGGAATTATCTATTCAACGCGATTAGCCCCAAGGTACAAAATTGTCTTTGTACATGGGAAAGGTGAGTGCCAAGCCTTTGGAAATTTTATATATATATGTCTGCCAGAGTATCACCGCCACGGATGTCTTTTTCCCAATAAATGAACACAAATAAAATAATCCCAAACGTAAACTATCCCCGATGTCCCATAACCCCCCATACATGAGCCAAGGCTTAATGCTGGGAGAAGACCCACACGGCCCCACACGGCTTATTATGCAAAATCCCCAACACAGGGTTTCTAACACAGAACAACAGGGAAATTCCTCCCATGATCCTCTGTGCTTGAGAGATAATTATTGGAATACACATCACTAATTATTTTATCTCTCAGGGACAGAAAAATCTAACATTTCTTAACCACCCCAAAAGTACCTCTAAAATACATGGAAACCCCACAACATCCCTGGATAGCCTGGATCTGGGTGAACAATATATCCAAAAATCACCCAAATCCATTTGGTAGTTTTGGATCACCATCGTGGCGAAGTTCTGACCGGTCTGCCATGAGGTTGAAGCCCAAAATAGTTCTAGGGAAGTGGTGGCTAGAGCCGGTCTCCATTCGTGAGGTAGTTACAAACTACCGAAACGGGGAGCATTCTACACGAATCAGCTTTCATCTAACTTATGTGGTTTTCGTACAAAACCCCACGAGCAGAGACGGCTCTTGCCACAACTTCCCTGGAACTATTTTGGGCTTCAACCTCATTGCAGACCAGTCAGAACTTCCCCAAGTTGGCGATCCAAAACTACCAAACAGAACTGGGTGATTTTTGGATATATTGTTCGCCCAGATCCAGGCTATCCGGGGATGTGTATCTCTTTGTGAGGTAGTCATATCTATTAACACCTTCCAAGTTATATGTGCTTTCTGTAGAGACAAATATAATGCACCTTGTAAATGAAGTATTTCACAGTACTCAGTTTATTAATTTATATATAAATTATATTATAGAGTAATGGATATGTGTGGTTTTTATCCAATTATATGGAGAATTATTCAAAAGTCTAAGGGACATTTTTTTTACTTGATAATTAATACTATGGTTAATTTTGCACTTGTCACTTTAAGGTTATGGGAATTGTTGTTATATTTTATTTGTAATTTATATCTGAAGATAGGGTGAAGATGCCCTTAATATGTTATGGTGAATTATAATTTAGGGATATAGTATAAACAGTGTATTATTAAACAATCCTTATATATGGCTAATGATAATTATATTTCTCTCAGTAGATACATATCGTCTCCTGTGTCTTTTATTATTAATGGCATTATACTATTATACTGGTGACCACCAGAAGGCTATAGGTCCACACTTCAACATCTTTTAAGTTGGAACGCATGAGACCGTGAAACACGGAAGTATAATGCCATCCGCACTTCTGGTTCCGGTAAGCCACAGATGCTACGGATTTTGACCGGGATGAAGTAGGACTGAAGATTTAAACATCTACAGCTGAACAGGAGCTGCAACTACACCAATAGAAACAGGGATGCATGGAAACACCCACGGATTCACCAATTGAAAGTAGGGGACTAGTAGGTGGGGGGTATTAGGCTGCTTTGTCACTGTTATTGCTATTGTATTGATTTTAATTTTTATGGTCCCTGAGGAAGGGACGCAGGACCTCTGTTTTTTAACTTTATTATTTATGGGTGACTGTTCACCTACTAATAAAGCAGCTGATTTTTTACATCTCAATCTATTGAAGTCCTGTCTTACATCAACTACATTGGACCAACAAAAGGGATCAATAGCCCCCAAATAACATCAGGGGAGGCACCTTTGAGTGCAGTAACCATCTTTATCTTGTGAGTGTACTCTATTGAGCGCATATCTGTTCATAATAACTGTATTACACTATATATCTTTTTTTGTTCTTTATTTAGATTTTACAGCCATATCCCAAATGTTTCTGGTTTCTATATATTTCGCTATGTAAAGGTAATTTTTCTGGGTAATGACCTGAGGAGGCTGTTCTATTTATTGTTAAGCTAAGTGTATTTTATGCTTAGTATCCACTAAACATATTCACACTGTGAATACCAATCAAAGGTTGCCTCTTTTTACAGAGGAGTGTGTATAACAAAAGTGCTCAAAAGAGTCAAAAAGTGATTTACAGGCAGCTCAATACACTAGTGTGGAAATATCCTCTATTCCACTGAATAAATTTAGTAGATATTGGTGCGGTGTAAGTGACAAGGACCTACACCTATAAGTGGAGCGCTCAAACACAGATAAATCTTACCAAAACGTAGTCTCATTCAATGGTAAAATATGGGGTACATGTCAAAATAAAATACAGAAAATACAATATAGTGTAGATGGTACTAAAAAATGGCTTCACAGTGATTATAATAATATCGTGTTGAATATTACACTCACATTTCAAGGAGCCTGTATATAGAAAACACTGGCTCCGTATAAAGGCTTGTGTGCTGTTATGGTAGCACCACCCTCCTACTTCGGCTTGAAGAATTTCTCGAGAACACGAAAAAAGAGAAGAAAGCAAACCAATGTGTAGACTTATGGTGATAAATGACACAGATATGTGTTCAATAAATGGGGTGCTCACCTGGTCCTGAGCCTACGAATCCCGGCTCTAGGTTTGTGGATTTTGTGCCAATTTGAGTGGGGATGGCACTACCCCTGTGAGGATTCCTTGGAGGCTCCAAAAAGAATTGCCCATTTTTAAAGGACTTTTATTTGAGGACTTTTATCATCTTTGTTTTTATGTTTATTTTAAACTAATAAATTCACCATTTTCATTTAATACCTCATCCAAGTTCTTTTTGTATATCTACCTTACCTACCTTATGTTCCAAATGATGAAATTTGAGATCTATTCACCTTTTATGGACTTGCCTATGACCTCTACAGTCAGGTCCGTGACATTGCTCCAGCTTTTTCCATGGTCTAAGCTTGTAACGTAGCACAGGCGAGCGAGGTTGCGCCCAGTGGTGATCTGGTAGGATTCCGTAGTCCTGCCCAGGACTGCAATGAAGAAAAGGAAGAGTTGCCCAGTGAATTCATCATAGATTGGGCAAGGGTTCATGGAACGATGGCCTGGCAGATGTGCTCTCTCCACTGCTCGCATATCCTCCCACTGCCAGAAATACAATATACTTTATAATATTTTTTAATATGGCCATATAATTATAACAATCAACTCAATATGATGAGATCAAAAAATAAAGAGAGAATACAAAATTCTAAAGATGGAATATATTTTCTGCAAGTATTTTGTTTGTTTTATGAAGTAAGTAATTTTAAGTTAAATTAGATTGGACTATTACTCTTGCCAGATGAATGGATGCATGGGCATAATGGATATGGCTACAATGCCATATATACATACTAATTTGGTAGTAATTGAAATTGTCATTAACTGAAAGTAATAAACTGCTCAGTGTTTATAAATTTGAACGTCCCAGCACTTTTCATGATAACTGCAAATTAAAAAGGTCATCCTGACATGAAATTATAAAACAAAGAGTCAAGGCTGATCCCTTGGCCTCAAATGGATAGTAGAGAGCCAGGAATACAAAGCTGTGTTCATTGCACTATTTTGATCTTTCCCCTGTTAAGAAGATAGCTCCCTTGCGGCGGCAGGGGCAGTGCTATACTGTGTATATCACATAAATTTTATATACACGTATCACATGCATTCTGTATACATGCAGCATATACATTCTGTTTAGATGCAGCATATACATTCTATATACATGCAACCATGGGCGTCCGCAGCTTGATTTATCAGCTTGTTCTGATATTTTTTGTGTGAGATTTAAAATGAACTGCAATACCGGCGCCGGCCAGTGTATGGAGAGAGACAGGGATAGGAAGCTGCATCTTATCCCTGCTTCTCTCTGCTGATTGAAACCGCAGGGAAGCAACACATACAGCCAGAGACAGCCTACAGATCAGGTAAGTGAGGGATGGGGGGAGGGTTTGAGATAGCCTATAGATTTTTGTGGGGGGACAGCAGCCTATAGATTAAGGAGTGAAGCTGGGGAGCAGCAGCCTATAGATAGGGGAGTGAGAAGCAGCCTATAGATTAGGGAGTGAGGCTGGGGGGGCAGCAGCCTATAGATTAGGGAGTGAGGCTGGGGGGGGCAGCAGCCTATAGATTAGGGGAGTGAGGCTGGGGGGGCAGCAGCCTATAGATTAGGAGTGGGGGGGGCCTATAGATTAGGGGAGTGAGGCTGGGGGGCAGCAGCCCATTAGGGAGTTGGGGGCAGCCCATGGAGTGAGGCTGGGGGGCAGCAGCCCTAGATTAGAGCCCTGAGGCTGGGTGGGGCAGCAGCCCATAGATTAAGGAGTGAGGCTGGGGGGCAGCAGCCTATAGATTAGGGGAGTGAGGCATGGGGGGGGGCAGCCTATACATTAGGGAAGTGAGCATAGGTGTGTGCAGCCTACTGCATTAGGGTGTGCATCCTAAAGCACAAACACACGCCATGTGTATGTGTGTGTGTGTGTGTGTTTGTGTGCGTATGTATATATATATATATATACACTGCTGTGTGTGTGTGTCTGTGAGGGTGCTGTTTGTGTGCTGTGTGTGAGGGAACTGGTAGTGTGCTGTGTGTGTGTGTGTGAGAGGGTGTTTGTGTGTGCGTGTGCGTGTTTGTTCTGATCCTGTTAGTGTGCTGTTTGGGTGTTGTGTGTTTGTCAGGGTGCTGTTTGTGTGTGAGTGTGCTGTTTGTGTGTGGGTTTTGTGTGTTTGTGAGGATGCTGTTAGTGTGCTGGGTGTGTGTGGGTGTTGTATGTGTGTGGGTGCTGTGTGTGCTGTTTGTGGGCTGTAGGTAGGTGCTGTGTGTAGGTACTGTGTGTGTGTGTGCTGTATGTTTGGGTGCTGCCTTCCCTGGTGGTTCAGTGGAGAGTGAACTCTAGCCCGGGTTCTCTGCTGCCTCCCTCCATGCTGCTGTGGACCGGTGAGGTAGAACTTTGATCTCCCCACCGGCCCATGGAGGCTTAGACCAGAGCCGCCGCTCGGATAGCGTCGGTCTGCATGAGCCGACCGGGGAGATCCAGAGATCTCCCCTGCCGGTCTCAATCCATTGGCGTGCCGCGGGGATTAGGGTGTGCCCAGGCACACCCGACACACCCTGTGCGCACGCCTATGGAAGTGAGGGATGGGGAGACAGCCTACATGAAGAGTCAGCAAGGAGCAGGAAGGTAAAGTAAGAAAAGGAGAAGGAACAGAAATGAGCAGGAAGTGACATCAAGGAGCAGAAAGGGGCAGCAAGGAGCTGGAAGGGACAGCAAGGAGCACAAAAGGTAAAGTAGGAGAAGGAGCACAAAGGAACAGAAATGAACAGGAAGGGTCAGCAAGGAGCTGGAAGGTAAAGCAGCACAAAGGTAAAGTAGAAGGAGCAGAAAGGGTCAGAAATGAGCTGGAAGGGGCAGAAGGAGCACAAAGGTAAAATAGGAGAATGAGCAGGAAGGGCCTGCAAAGGAGCAGGAAGGAGCACAAAGGTAAAGGAGCAGAAAGAATCAGAAGGAGCACAAAGGTAAAGTAGAAAAGGGAGCAGAAAGGGAGCAGAAAGGGATCAGAATGAGAAAGGAGCAGAAGGGCGCTAAATAAGCAGAAAGTAGCAGAAAGGTAAAAGAGCAGAAGGGGCCAAGGATAGAAAACAGTGTCAAAAGAAAAAAAAAAGACTGTCAAATGAAGGAGAGGAAAAGGAGATTGGAGCAGGAAGGACAAATGAAGTGAACCTCCACTTTATTCTGGACACCACATCATAAGGCTTTGGTACCTGGGCCAGGCAGGGAAACGCTGGACCTTCTCATCTCCAAAGGTAAAAAAATATCAGTATTAATGTGTTCACTTTTATTTACTGAGTGTCAGGAAGCACAGAGTGCCGTTGGGTAGGGGGTGTTGCTGATTGTCCAGAGCGGTCAGCTGGCACTCTAAGCCAATTAGTAGCTCCCCATTCATAAAAAAGTAAAAATATTTTATGAACCGGGAACTAGCGATTGGCTTAGAGCGTCAACTGTCCACTCTAGCCAATCAGCGGCACCCATGCCTGACGTCAATCTGCACTTCCTGACACTCTGTTTCAGAAGCTAAATACCACTGAGCTACCTGGAGCTGGAGGAAGCCTTTGGGGTTAAACCATTTGAGAGCGATTTAACCCCTTAAAGGAAAGCGAGCACCCAGGGGCTTCCTGGCATCATAGCATTTTCATTTAGGTGAAGTTGTTATGGTGACCAGAATGGTCCTTTAATTTGCTTAAAGGAACACTATAGTGTCAGGAATACAAACATATATTCCTGACACCATAGTTGTGAAAACGCTATTCACCCTGGCTTTACGTGATAATGGCTATGCCCCTTCCCTTTCATGACACTGTCAAAAAGGTACCAGGCATGGATGTCATTACAATTATGCCCCCCCCCCTGGAAAAATTCCTGCGGACGCCCATGGTGCCCTTGTCACCATTTACATGACTAAGCTGATGCTAAAATTCTCCTTGACAGTTAACTTACCTTGCATCCCACACAGCGCTGCCCATAGCACCCAGAATCTCAATTAAATTCTCTGGGTGCCTATAGTTATCCTTTAGGAAAAAAAGCACTTTTTAAAATCTAACTTTTTTTGAGTTGCTTAGTAGAATCCTAAGTGAGGATACCAAATTAAAGAGGCTATCTACCAAACAGCCGAAAAAGAAAAATTAAGAAGAGCCCTTTTATTAATTTTGATCTTACAGTTTCTTAGTAGATAAGTCACCAATTTGATATCATTATTGACACAAATACTTTGTTTTGATTTGAAATTCGATTTGGAATGAAACAAATTGCTCATGTCTACTTTTAATAGATATGGGGAATCAGTCAGAACATCTCAGCTACTATTTTATCTACCATATGAGGAATGCTTTAACACTTGCATCACTGAAATGTTTGGAGTCCAAACCCTCATCTTACTTCTACTGACCTCCACATAGTTACGGTAGAACTTTCCACGTCTTAACACCAGCAGGTTAGCGTGGGCATCATCTGCACTCAGCCTCTCTTCAGCAAATGCCAACATGGTGGCCCATCGTGGAATATAGAGCAGGGCTGGAACACGATATGTTACACCATTCTTCTCCTTCTCAAAAAGCACAGTACGAGCAGGAACATGGCGAGACCCCATGTCCTACAGGACTTGTTGGACAACAAATAAGAACAGCCTGCAGATACAAATATAAAAAACAGCCTCATTACTCTTCTATCTGGCCATGGTTTTACAATTTATCAAAACAAAGTAACCAGAGGTATAACTAGAAACCACCGTACCCTGGTGCAAAAATTGCTCTGTCACCGCTCCCCATGTCTCTCCCCATCTCTTACAGGTGTCTAATTCTCCTCCTAGCACCTCCATGTGTCTCATTCTCCCTCCAACTCCTCCATGTGTCTCAATTCCCCCCAGCATCTCCACGTGTCTCATTCTCCTCCACAGCTCCTTAACGTGTCTCAACCCCTCCATGTGTCTCATTCTCCCCCCCCAACTCCTCCATGTGTCTCAATTCCCCCCAGCATCTCCATGTTTCTCTTTTACTCCTTCCATGTGTCTCAAATCCCCCCAACCCTTCCATGTGTCTAAATTCCCCCCATCCATTCCAAGTCACCCCTCCATGTGTTGGGTCCCCTGGAGTGACGTGGAGCTGCAACCCCTGTTACCGTGATAGTTGTGCCACTGAAAGTAACTAAATAAAAAAAAACACAGCAGTCAGTAGGGACATTACATTGGTTTCCAAGCTTCTGTTGAAAAAATGCATACATCATGTATTGCTGACACTATAGTCCTGAAGTGGCTGTATACTCACTTTTCTCCCATATCTCGCTAGTCTTGCCTCAATAGTTGAGCTAATCAATCGTGATCTTAGTCAGTCCAATGCATTGCCATAAGAAAGCATTGGGAGGCTATTGCACGTGTGCTGCAAAATGCAGTTCTGCGCCATTCAGCATCTACTCACAGAGTATTTCTGTGAGGAACGTTCAGAATCTCCATGCAGGGTGTAGAGATGTTGAACGTAGGTGCTGCACACTGTGCAACACTGAAATAGGAAGCACCTCTAGAGACAGGCTCAGTGGTGTTACTAGGCGCTAATGTAAACACTGCTGTTTATATTGAAAAGCCTGAAGGGACAGACTATAGATATCAGAAAATCAACATTAAGGTATAGTAGTTTTGGTGACTATAGTGTCCATTTAAATCACTAAAGTGAGAATTCAAATTGAAAGCAAAGTGAGTTTGGGCTAGTTAGAGCAGTGGCATTGTTACTTCCTTATATCTGGAAAACCTAGGTTTGAATGTCCTTGGATAAGAGACCCTTTCTGTAACTGTAAAGTACTTTGTAATATGTCAATGCTATATAAATGATAACACTACTTTCCAATTTAAGTCTAGAGTAGCCAATCTGTTGTCTTTTGTCCTTAAATGTGAAATTCACTTTGAATTCTCACTTTCGGCTTAAAGGGACAGGCCAGGCACCAAAACAACGTCACAACAATAAAGTTGGTATGGTGCCAGAAGGCCCCTGGAAGCACTCTTACTTCAAGAATGGTTTAACCCTTAAGTTGCCTTAAGCGCCTATCTCTTCTCCTCCCCTGGTGGCGTCCGCCTTCTAAATTGTCACTTACAGGAAGTGGAGTGCAGCCGGGCAGAGCAGCGGTTGATTGATTGAGAGCAGTCACCTGACACTCTCAGACAATCTGGAACATACATGCTCTGCGATTAGTGAGAGTTATGTTCCCTTGCATCAGCTAGTATTTACAGAAGCCACCATTAACTCTTTCTCTACCATTACAGAGGGAAAGGAACTGCATAAAGAACTGCAGCTGCAAATAGGAACTACTGTATGGGATTGTAATTCCTACTAATCTCAATGTTCCGTTGATGCTATAAGATTAAAGGGATCTTAGCCCTAATGCTAAATCTACACTTAGCCCTAATCCAAGCACTCAATTTAAACACTTTAGGTAAATACATTGCCACCTTGTGGTTCTGCCAACATGTATAAACATTTTATCCAGTGGTGTATTACATCTTCAAAACCCATGTATGGCATCATTTGTTCATGATATACACTTGAATCTTATGTTTCCTCCATATGTATTAAATACAATAAAAAATATGCGAGGCACTACATGTGCACAATTGCCTTGCCTAATGCATCATTCAAAAACATATCCTGTAAAAAAACTCTGGCATCATTGCTTAATCCCTTTAAATGCCACTTTCAATAGAAGTCCTCTGGAGACATCATTATAAAGCCATAGATTATTTTCCACAAATATTCACTTTAGCATTATGTATCTTTTATATTATATGAATTTATTTTAGTGTTAGGCTTCTTTTAATCATCATCATCATCATCATCATCATCATCATCATCATCCATTTAAGCATCATGGCAGCAGCATGCTACCCATAATTAATCTCCTCCTCTACCTTTGGTGATTTGCTGGGAGATGACCTGGGGTGCGAGAAATGAACAGCTTGTGTCTCCCCAGTACTCCTCATGGCATACCAGTAAACGGAGAGCAGCTGCTCTCTAGGAGTATCACATTCTATAATCGCAGGCTGGCAAGGCATATATTTTAAATGTTTTGCAGTAATTAACTACTTATCAAAATCAAATAGTTATCGATTAATCTATCACACTGTAAAGATACCCAAAACTCAGGTTGCATGTACACTTGTGCACACTCATTCATTGAACAAGCACAGTATCCCACAGCCGGTTATTAAAAAAATGTCTATATGCATGTTCTCATATCTCCTGGAGATATCCTTACACTGCTCTGCTCTGCTCCCAACCTCAACCACCACATGTCCTTCTTAGATCCAAGCCTTCTTTCCATTCCAGTAAGTCAATGTATGAACATATAATTTTCAATAGACAGTTCTGTCCCTTCCCCAATGTGGAATCCTGTTACCTGTGGACAGTAATCCTTGAACTTCAACTTCTTCAAACACTGCGTTCTGTAGGTTTACCATGCCTCTCTCTTTATCCCGGTTCTGATAGGTTCTTTCATCTTCTAGGGTTTTCTACCTACAAACTTTGATGTGATCACATGCGCTGACACACAAAGGACATGGCAAGTGACCCAGAAAATCACTCCCAGTCAGCATACAGCGGGTGTCGCTGTGTCATCTTCACTTTTTTTTCCCTGTTAAATCCTGGTTTACAAAAAAGCCCTAGTGCCCGCTGGTTTTAAAGTTACTGAAAGCGTGTTAGTTTTGCTTGAAATTTTATTGCCCAGATTTACAATAGCGCAGTGACACATAGGAATGCCAAAGAACATACATATGGACACAATAGTTAAGAAACATTTTTCAAAAGCGATTGTTCCTACAAATATTCTTGTACACACACAATATCGATTTTATTAAGACAGAGGCTTGTATAATACATTATTCTCCTTCTACCACTCCATAACAGGAAACGCATAGGAATTAGACTAGATAGAATGAGTTGAAAACAAACAAGCTTGACATCTATAGAATGTGTATTAATCAATACCGTACGTAGTTTATATAGCACTAATCTGCTAGCAATATTCTTATTTCATGGTTGCAATAGAATGCGCTAATTATGTTGGGAGTTAACAACTTGAACTTAATGAAGATGATAAAACATCCATAAAAAAAATTAAATCAAACTGCATGAATGCAAAGTGGAGATTTTAAGTCTTTTAAATGGAAAAAAAACATTAATTACAATTATTGAGGGTAGTTAGCCGGGTAGATGGTTGGGATAATACTCATCTCATGCCTTTAAAGGACCACTATAGTGCCAGGAAAACATACTCGTTTTCCTGGCACTACAGTGCCCTGAGGGTGCCCCCACCCTCAGGGACCCCCTCCCGCCCAGCTCTGGGGAGAGGAAAGGGGTTAAACTTACCTTTTTTCCAGCGCCGGGCGGGGAGCTCTCCTCCTCCTCTCCGCCTCCTCTCCGGCTGAATGCGCACGTGCGGCAAGAGCTGTGCACGCATTCAGCCGGTCTCATAGGAAAGCATTCATAATGATTTCCTATGGACGCTTGCGTGTTCTCACTGTGATTTTCACTGTGAGAATCACGCAAGCGCCTCTAGCGGCTGTCAATGAGACAGCCACTAGAGGCTTTGAGGGCTGGATTAACCCATTTATAAACATAGCAGTTTCTCTGAAACTGCTATGTTTATTAAAAAATGGGTTAATCCTAGAGGGACCTGGCACCCAGACCACTTCATTAAGCTGAAGTGGTCTAGGTGCCTAGAGTGGTCCTTTAATAAAATCTACTTTTATTTACAGCATGGCTGGGGAAATGTTACATTTTAGGACCGATAGGACTTTCGTATCATGCATGTTTAAAGTTGAACGCACAATGTATATAATCACAACAATTACAGACACATGTTTATTGGATGTAGAATAGAAATTCTTAAAAAGATACAGTCCGAGGACCAATATGTGGCCTGGAAAATAACCACAACAGGAAGCCAAGAAGAAGAAACAAGACCGATAAAATGTAACTTTTATTATTTATTTTAAAATGTTTTTCAAATGTGGAGCTCAAAATAAACCATAAACCTACAAGATAATGCAATTATTTTTTTAGACAAAATTCTAATAAAACTAGATAGTTTCAAGTGAGCATATTTTTTCTCTTTAAATTCTTCTTAGTAGTTTCCAATAATAACATTGTCAGTAACACGCACAATCACCACTAGGTGGCAGTGGTATACTGCCTAGATTGGACTAGTTTAGCAAGTTATGGTTAAAAGGATAGATGAAAAACAGAATGAAATTGTTAAAGTATAAAAATGAGATTTTGAGAGAAATCACAATATGAATGAAACTGAAATATTAAAAAGCGGGGAAGAACAAAGATTGAGCAGATATGATAAACCAGCTAAGGACCCCCACTCCCAGCACATACACTGATAGGGCAAAATGTCTTAGATTAGGGCAGAATTGTTGCAGACCATGTACACCCTCTTATAGCAATGGTGTTCCCTGATGGCAGATTAATGCACCCTGCCACACAGCAAAATTGTTCAGGAATGATTTGAAAAAGATGATATAGAATGTTAACAAAGGTATTGCGTTGGCCTCCAAATATAATATGTTTCTCCAATCAGGCTCCTACATCGCATGCACATCATAACCACACTGTCTTAAAATATAAGTTTTTACATGGTTTTACGGTGTAACAGTGCAAAGGTGATGTTTGTAACTCTGTTAATGTCCTTACCCATGTAACAATTAGGGCAATCATGGTAAAAGCAGCCATGGGTTTGCCACCAATCAAAGCAAAAACATCCAAAATATTGTTACCAGCAGCCTTCTCACCATCTTGTAAGGCATATTGTATGGTGAAAACAATGAGAATGTTACCTGCGCTCTGACCTAAATCCCTATGTACATTTAAACAAAATGGAGGCTCTATAGTTTTATTCCAATGAGCTAAAAGGCAAATTTCCCTGTAATCAGAGTTTCGTATTATAAACCTATTTATAAACCTTTTTTAAAATGTATAACTATCGATCTATGTAACAAATGGAATTGTAAGATGGAATTGTAAGATGGACAGTATATGGTCTACATGTAAACTTGCACTAAAGTATGGAGTTTTTTTATGCATATATGATTATGAGTACGGAAAAGTTACACACCTGAGAAATGTAATTAGGTGATGTATATATTTAGCCTCAATCCCCCAAACACTTTATCTTGAGAAAGCCTGCTCTAACGGGTGAAACGAGTAGATAGTGATTGGCGGGATTTTTTGAATGTGAAATTGCTAAGGCAAGTACAGCAGTAACTGAGAGCCCGAGTTCCGGTGAGGATATCGGTCTGAGTGCACAGGACCAGCTTGCTAATCTATATCAACGGAGCGGTAACCATATCCATCTCGGCTTGTACACTGCACTACACTTGTGCTTTTTTAGTGGGAATTACTTAGGAATAAAGTCCACCACTTAACTTTGTGGGATACTAAGTTGCACTGAATGATACAGACCTTGTCTAAGAACATACAGATTATTTTGCAACAGCTACAAATTTCTGATACTATTTGGACATATCCCTACATAAACGGATATTGGAACTCTTCAGTTAACAATAATATTATTGCATTTCATGTTGTTTCCCACATTTGGATAATAAGGGAATATCTACTAAGCGCTGATACTAATTTTATTTTATTTCTTGTCTACAATTTTTTAAACTTGGGAAGGTTTATATTGTATCTGGCAGCTTTAATCTACTTTGTTATAAAGTGTTTTAGAGCACTTATTTACTCACTGGTTTATTTTATTATATTTTATTTTCATTGCGCTCTCTTATCTTTTAAATTATTATTTTATTTTCCCCATATTTAGAGAAGCAGCATTCTGAACTATGGTATGTCTCTATTCACATTTAGAAACCAGTGTTAAATAGATCTAGCTCTAAAACAGGGTTCAGATAATTCAGAAAGCAAGTTTTTTCTTTAGTAAAACGTATTACCAAGGACATGAAACTTAAGTTAGAGGTAGCTTCCTTGGAAAAGTCATAATATTCTGCGGGGGCTGAGAATAATGTTACAGTCATCCACGGACAAAGATGACCCAGAATTTAGCACTATCTGGGATCGCATACTTGACCATTGTTCATTTGAACTTATGAGCCACATCATATGTAAACGTGAAAGAATGTTAGCAGCTATTGATAGATACATTAGTAATCTTAAAGAAACACTAACCATGCATCTAGAACTTCAAGAGTGTGTTACACTCATGGAAATAACAGAGCAAAAACTAGAGAAAACTTTTGAAAAAGTTATGAGTGTCAAAAAAAGAAAATTCGATAGAGATCAACAGGATTTTAAAGAAAACCATGTAAGAGATTTTAAGAAAAAGGAGAGAAATAATAATAGGATACCTACCATCCAAGCACAAAATCTCAGGGCATAACAGATGACATAAGGAACTCTAGAGAGAATATTCATCCTCCCAAACATGCATCATATGCAAGGAAGGTTTACAAAACTAAACATCAAAGTAAAACTCCAAATAACCCTAGAACTCCTAAAGAATCTAGATGGACCACTGTCAGACATCGTAAGGGAGGAAAATTACCCCAATATAATAATACTAAAACCTCCTTCACTCGCAAATAGTGATGTCCCGAACGGTTCTCTGGCGAATAGTTCCCGGCGAACATCGCTTGTTCGCGTTCGCCACAGATGGCGAACATATGCGCTGTTCGGTCCGCCCCCTATTCGTCATCATTGAGTAAACTTTGACCCTGTACCTCACAGTCAGCAGACACATTCCAGCCAATCAGCAGCAGACCCCCCCTCTCAGACCCTCCCACCTCCCTAAGCCTCACTACCCCCCACACCCTCAGCCTCACTACCCCCCCACCACCCTCAGCCTCATCCCCCACCACCCACAGCATCACCACCCCCACTTTTTTGTTAGTGGGGCCTCATGTTTGAGTTTCGCCTAAGGCCTCATAAAGTCTAGAGCCGCCTCTGGGTGTCCCAATAGCTAGCATTTAAAAAAAACAAAACTCTTTTGACTGTAATATAATAGCAGTCAGTTTCCGTCACGAGTGTGCGTTTCAGGGCCTGCCCAGTGCCACCACTCACTCACTGGTGTCCCAATAACTTGCATTTAAAAAAAACAAAACTTTTTGGACTGTAATATAATAGCAGTCAGTTTCCTTCACGAGTGTGCGTTTCAGGGCCTGCCCAGTGCCACCACTCACTCACTGGTGTCCCAATAGCTTGCATTTAAAAAAAACAAAAACTTTTTGGACTGTACTATAATAGCAGTCAGTTTCCTTCACGCATGTCCATTTCAGGGCCTGCCAGGGCACTGTGTCACACCAGTGCAACTCATATCTGGTGTAACAGTAGTGAACATTTAAAAAAAAAAATACAATTTTGACTGTAATAGATTGAATAGCAGTTAGTTGTCTGCAAGCGTGTGTGTCAGGCCTACAGCATCTACTCTGCCAACTTCTGCCACTGCACAGTGCCACTCATATCTGTTGTTACAGTAGCTTGCATGCATAGTACCGCTAATCAAAAAAAAAATGACAGGAAGAGGCAGGCCACCCCACAGGGGCCATCGTGGTCGTGGTGCTGTGATTCCCTTTGGCCCTAGAATAATGCCCAGTGTTCAGAGGCCACGTACCCTGAACTCGAAAAGTTCTGAGGACATAGTTGACTGGCTAACACAGGACACCCAATCTTCTACAGCTTCCGCTCGGAACCTTGACGCACCATCCTCCTCCAGCTTAGCTTCGGCCCAACCAATAGTTGACTTCCATTTGTTTGCCCCAAGCAGATATCTACCCATATAGCTTCCACATTTTCCTCATCACACACCACATTTGACTCATGGTTGACATACAAACATACCCCACCGCCCTTCTTGTTTTTCCTATTCTTCCTAAATAACATGTACCCATTTAAGTTAACTACCCTGTCATGTGTCTCATCCCACCATGCTTATGTTATGCCTATTATATCATATTGCTTAGTGTATGCTATTGCCTCTAATTCTCCCATTTTGTTATCTAGGCTCCTTGCATTAGTAAGAATTCATTTATTACCATGAGTCACTTTGTGCACATTTATATTACTGTTATATACCTTCCCTGTTCTGTCTTGCCACCACTCCCACCCCCATCTCCACACTGCTTATGCTGAGCTAAAGCCCATCTCTTTTCTGTCATATCTGAATTTTGTAGATTACAATGTACCTCCCCTCCACCAGTAGTTTTAAATATCCTCCAACCTTCTAGCCACCCTATCCCTAAGCACAGCCGACCCTCTTCCATTTAGGTGCAATCCATCACGGCTCTAATTACGAACTTTACTGACAGAATTCAGCATGCATGCTTTTAATGCCAGACTAGACCTTCACTGAGGCACTGAAAAAGAGCATTTCACCTAGTTAAAACAAGCCGTTGTTTTCAATAGCAAGTTATGCCCCATCATAAATGGCATTGTTGCTGTATCTTACTTAAAACACCAAATATAAAACACTTTGGCATCTAGTAAATTGACCAGTTTGTTTGTACATAGAATATAAAATAAGAAGCAATCAGACATTTTAAATTTTTTTGTCAGTAAATCCATTTTGATTCATGGCAGTTAAAAACAGATTGAAATTAGACTCGCAAACAAAGTCACAGCATACACATATTGTCATCTGTGTTAGGAGAGTAAATATTTGATCTCATAATGAAAACATTTCCAATGTCAGCTTAGTGAGGAAATATTGAGAAGTTTCCTGCTTATCTGACAGTTGTACAGAATATTAATTTATATTGAAATTTTCCACAGGTGGAAAAATGTAATGCCCAATGACACATTTTATTTCACTATCCTACGGAATCCTGTCTCTCAAATGGAATCATCCTTCACACACTATAAGGAGCAGAATGTGTTCCAAAACCCTAACAGACTAGCAGATTTCCTCAATAATACAGCAACATACTACAATAGCACCGATATAGACAGTCACTATGGCAAAAACTTTATGTCATTGGATTTGGGCTTTGACAACAATGGACAAGAATCTGCAAAACACTTTAAGTTGGCATGTCAAACAGCAGAGATCTTGTTTGATCTAGTGTTAATTTCAGAGTACTTTGATGAATCTTTGGTGCTTTTGAAAAATGCTCGTTGCTGGACATTTGATGATGTTCAATCGATTCCTCTAAACATTAGGAGTAATACAACAAAACAATCCCTACCAGACAAAACCCAAGAAAAGATCAAGAATTTGAATCAATTAGACTGAAACCTGTATGTCTACTTTAATAGGTCTTTGTGGAAAAATGTGGAGAAATTAGAGAGTAAAAGAATGGAACTCGAACTAGAGGCGCTACGGAGGAAGAGAATTGAAATGTGTCAGATCTGCTTGGAAGGTGAAGTACCGTATTTTTCGCTCCATAAGACGCACCTCACCATAAGACACACCTAGTTTTTAGAGGAGGAAACCCAGAAAAAAAAATATTCTGAACTGTTCCATGGTGTTTCTTACTATGGGACAGTTTGTTCAGAATATGTTTTTTTAAGGAATTTTTTGTTCCTTACCACCCACTCCCCTCTCCTGTCCCATAATGATCTTTAACCCCCCTCCCCTGTCCCATAGTTATTTTAACCCCCCTTTCCTCTGTCCCATAGTGATTGTTAACCCCTCCTCCCCTTGTCCAATAGTGTTCTCATCCCATAGTGTGTCCCACCCCCTTGTCCCCTCCCATAGTGCCCTTTCCCTCCCATAGTGTCCCCCCTTCCCCTTGTCCCATAGTGTCCCCCCCTCCACTTGTCCCATTGTGTCCCCCCCTCCACTTGTCCCATAATTACTTACCTGTCTTGTAGCGTGGGCCGGCTTCACAGTGCGCTCCGCGGTACAGGAACTTCAATTTCAGGTTCCGGTTTCCGGCGGGACTGAAAGGAAGTGTGCACACTGAGTGTGCACTTCCTTTCAGTCCCGCCGGAAACCAGAACTTGAAATTGAAGTTCCTGTACCGCTGAGCGCGCTGTGCTGCCGGCCCACGCTACAAGACAGGTAAGTCAAGCTTCACATTCGCTCCATAAGACACACAGACATTTCCCCTCACTTTTGAGGGGGAAAAAAGTGCGTCTTATGGAGCGAAAAATACGGTATATACAGAAAGAATGACAGACAAGTCGCTATCACCCTACCAAGCAGGAACAGCCAGGATACTGGGACACAACTTGAGGCCAGGACTAAAAGAAAATGAGAAACAATTTTGACAGAATTTGGTTAGACCAGAGATTCAGTATACTGAAATGTGGAGAAACAAGAGAATGCATGATAAGTATATACAATCTAAACATTAAAACACATTCATAGACTCAGCATCTGTCACCATCTCCTTATAAGATATATATATAGTAGAAATGTGTTGTGCAATATTGCACCTTTTCCGAAGAAGAAAAGTCTGTTTTTTTTCATGGATAAACCTGGAAGAAATCTACTTTGTATTCTTTGAAGAAAAAAAAAAATCAATGATATTCAGATTCAATCATTAGGGAAGTTTAAAAAAAACAATACTACAAATGAAGGTGGTGGGTCACCACAGAAAGAAAGGTGTGTAGTATCACCTTAAAAAAAAGCGAAAAACAGGAAAAATAGAAAAATAGAAAAAAATACTGTAACTGTAAATTCACAGGCAAAATATCTCCACTGCACCCCCATACACACACTGTCCCACATACACACACTGCACCCCTCACACACGCACTGCCTCCCATACACACACACACACACACACAGAAAAACTGCACCCCTCACACACACTGCCTCTCATACCCACCTTGCATCCCTCACGCACTCACTGCCTCCCATACACACATACAGCCCCTATCCTGCCAGACCCCAGGTAAATTGTCAAACTGTTTTTAAACGGTTTGACTATTTACTCTGGGAGGGCGCCATGGCACTCCTGGCACCATAACCACTAGAGAGAGCTGTAGTGGTTATTGTGCCTGGATTGTTCCTTTAAAAATAATGCTCAACATAAGGCTCTGGATCTGCCACTGGTGTGTTAGCAATTGTTTTCTTGGTGACTATGGTCTCAGCTGCCTTGAGATCATTTACAAGGTCCTCTCATGTAGTCCTTGGTTGATTCCTCACCGTTCTCATGATCACTGAAACTCCACAAGGAGAGATCTTGTATAGAGCACCAGACCAAGGGAGAATAACAGGGCATGGCTTTTAAGAACAAATAGAATCTAAATGCAGGATTTCTTCTCACCTGAATACTCCGGTGCGTCACCACTACGCGGTCTGGCTGCCGACTCTTTGTCAAATGGGACCAAGGAGAGCAGGTCCTTAAGAATCTTTTCCCTCACCTCCAAAGACACATGTAACCCCAGGGGAGCAATGTCACAGACAGACCCACCCTGAAGTCCTCACCTCACTTGTCCCTGAAGGTAGGGCCCCAGAGTTAAGCACCAAGCCCTGCACGTCACACGGTGCCCCAACAGTCTCTGCATGCACCAACCATGAATACAAATACAAAAAGACAAGTCCTGCGCGCACTCTCATCACTCCTGGGCAGCAGTAATAACCACAGTACACATCAGCCCCAAAACATACAGTAAAAACCAAAGAAAATGTTACCTGCGCTCTCTCCTAAATCCCTATGTATATTTAAACAAATGAAGGTCATTTAGTTACTCCAATGGCCATTGGAGGGAAAGCCCGCCTGCCAACGTCAAGGCAAACCCCCCTAGGCGGGTCCTACACTGACCTTTCACCTTGCTTCCCTGAGCTTCTGGCAAAGATATCTCTAATGAGACAGAGAGGGGTATTTTTTATAGGCACCAACCGTCCCAGCACCGCTCGCAGCAATTTCTCTAATTCCCTTTGACCCTCCCCACTAGCCCTAATTCCCCCCCTACCCACTGCCAAGCATGAGCACACTCCAACTCACAGTTCAGGAGAAGGGGTCTCTCTATCCCAGGCTCCAATTCTGGACCTTGGTGCTGTAAGGGTGATCCAGCCTGCCTTCCTGCTGAACCGCCAGGGGAGTGGCAGCTCACACCCCAGAGACCTCAAGGCAGTCCATGCTGGGTATGTGGTATCCTGTGGGAATCCTGCTTCCCTCCTAGGTGCTCCGGCAACTCCGGTCTAGAAGCCGGCCTGCTACCACCCGCTCGCCTGCATGTAGAGGGGAATTTTGCGTTCCTCCCTGGTGCTCCAGGGACTCTGGTTCAGAAGCAGGCGAGCTCCTCCGGCGGCCCGCTACCACCTGCTGGCATGCCCCACTTGCCGGGCGCCAGTGGTGCTCTTCCTTCGATTCCCCACTCCAATCTGTATGGGGACTTCTGAGTTCGGTGGGGGCCTTTGACGTCTGCATTTCAGGACGTGCAGACGTCACCTACGCGCCACCCGGGTTCCGGCGAACGTCACTCTGCCTCCTCCTACGTGCTTACGCCCGTGCCGGCGTCACTTAGTGAGGATGCAGGACAATGCAAGACCCATATCTTCTTCCTAAAAATCCATAAGACAGCCAGTAGCACAGTTATGAACATTCTATTCCGCTTTGGAGAGGCTTACAACTTGATCTTTGCCCTTCCTTCTGGCTACAGCTTTTCATACCATTATTATTTCAGTACAAAGTATGTAAATGGTTTCAAAGAAGGCAACACAAATGTTCATATTATGTGCCATCACATAAGGTTCAACCTCAATGAGGTATGTTCCACAATCATCATTATTCAATATATAAACAATACATATACAATTTTTAATATTTTAAATGTATTAAAATAATTATGAACAGTTACTCTTAACTGAAAGATGTCATTTATTATGTGCAAAAATTTACTTCTTTACTATACGAGTGGAAATACAATCAAGTGAAATGTATTAAATGTCAGAGTCTCACAATTCTTCTGTCTCATTAACTCTTGTCAGTGCAATGTCCAGTTCACTGAATAGTTCAGATATCAAATTACTATTGGTGCGTCTCATATATGATATATCTGTTTGAAGGAGCAGTCATGAAATATTTTTCGTAAATAGCACTTTTATTAGCAGTTCAAATAATAACAGGTAACAATATGAATGATATCAGTGAGACTCGCAGGTCTCAATCAGCATCTTACATGAGCACCACATGTGCCAAGTGTAACTTTAAACAATGCTTCTGTATGCAGTAGAATGTTGGCCTATAATATCTAGGACACACAGGTTTTGCGTTTGTTCTCCTACCAGTTGGTTGTTAGTGCGGTAGGTCTGGAGTTAATATCCACTTACGTGGAGGGTGAGATGAGGGTCAGTCTTACGGTTCAGAGTCCTGTAGTCTTGCACCGGGTCTGGGTCTCCCTCGTCTGTCTGCCCTTTCCCTAGTGTCTTCTGCGCCTGGGTATTTACTCAGGTCTCTCCTGGAGCAACTACCATCTTGTTCTAAGTCCTCGTCCGTTCCTCGTTTACGAGACGGTGCCATTATGGAGGAGGCTCAGTAGTGCGTTTGGTCGTTGCTATCGTCCTGCTTCCTTATAGGCGGTGTTTGGTGTAGTTATCCAGTCACTAATTACATTAGGTATCTGTGATGTGTCTGGAGTGTTCCCCCCACTTTGGGTGGGGGTGTTGTGATATTGCGTTGTCCGGTTGTGTCTACCTTCATATGTTGTCTTATGTTTGCTCTGTGTAGGTGTTTCCCTTGTCGTGGGTTCCTCCCTACTGCGTTATGCAATGTCATGTGGGCCTCTCGTTCCGCATGGGATCGTGATGACCCCTCAAGATCTTATATTGTTGTAACCTTTTTATGCCGGGTTCATGAAATATTTTTCAAGCAAAGTCCTATATTGGTTTGCATCCTCGTTACAATTGTGTGTCCTTTTTGTTGTATAATTCTTCCCTTACCACAAATACTTCCAGCTGGATCCAACTTAATCCAGTGTGCATTGTTTATTAATAGTGAATTTATACCTCCCAACTTCAGCACTCCAGGAACTGGGACACCGTTTGGAGGAGGTAAATGGGGCAGGCCATTGATGCAAGTGTGTCACTAGCTCCACTTAAAAGGTTGGGCCTGTCCAGGAAAGGGAGCCCCGCTCACATTTCTATCAGGTCAACCTTGTGTGCATGTTACAAAATGTCTTTTGTCACTGTTCTTTTAAGTGACAAATTGCCCTGTTCCCCTGGATTATGGAGAAGCCTAATTGCCAGCCTCCTTCCTCATGACTATGGCCCTGATGTGTATGGCCCTTTAAGAACCGTCTGTGGGAACATTGTGACTTTGGTGAACAATGCCCCTTTAA